ATTTTGAGAATGATGAGGGCAACAAATGTATAAGTGTGCTTTACACAATTGATGTATGTATGGATTGTGATAAGAGTTGTATGAGCCCCAATAAAATGATTTTTAAAATGCTATGAATTTGGTGCACATTAATAGCATTTAGCACAATCACTTTCCTAGAAATGATAATATAGCACATAAACCACTCCACTTAGTCTATTCTCCATGCCCCAACCCTTGGCTTCCTTAATTACCATCATTTTTCAGATTGTAACTTTTTAACCTTTCAACCTAAGCAATAGCAGGGTCGTTTCCCCCGATATTGAAAAAAATTGGTATCAAAAAGCATATGAACTTGCTGACAGCTCTCCAATGCTTCACTTCTCTTTTGAAATTAGGCCTCAGAAGTCTCTAGAAACAGAGGAGCCTCTTTATTGGCCAGGCCAGGACACAGCCTAGTAGCTGCTATTCGAAGCCAACACCAACACGAGGCGCTGCCACTGGGTATGTATCATGCTTCTGTGCACCTCTGGCTAGCCTTGTTTTTCTTGCCCTGCATCTCTTAATGTCCAGCTTTCTCTATTATGGTACTGTCTAGTCTCCTTGCCCTTGGCTTTCAACCTCCTCTTTGTCCTTTTTCTCTTTCCCCTTCCTGGACACAGTGCCTTGCTCTCTGTCCCTTTCTCTGATTTCTACATTCCCTTCCCAACCCTGCTCCCCCTCGACTTTATTCCATTCATAGATTTGTTAACTCGATTCAAAAGAGCATAATTCAAGTGAGGTGATGCATGTCTTTGTGGTCATATACGCAGTTTGACTTATATTTCTCTTTTCCACATATACACGGGAAAAAATTTTTTCTCATAGTCTTCACCCCTTACGCTAACTACCCTCTTTCCAAAGTACATACCACCAGTATCCAGGGAAATGGGGTGAAAGAGTTATAAATGGATTCTATATATATTTCCATTATCCTGCTGGGAAATTAACTCATGGCCATGGCTTGTCAGTGGTCAGAAAAAAAAATATTCCTTTGAACTCATAAAGAACTATGGCAAAATGACCAAGAAAGCATAGAACAAAAAACACGACTCCCTGGAGAGCCATTTTATTATCCATCATATGTCGCAGAGGGATGAGTTCACACCCAGTTACATTCCTAGGTATTAAGGATGATGAGCTTACAGCTGGATCATTTTCAGTCTGATCTTTTTTAAATAGTAAGGTTATTATGTGATAAGAAAAAGAAAAATCTCAACCACTTAGGTTTTCTTAAATGAGTATGCTACCTGCCTTTCAAACTGCGACATGAATCTTGATGTCAAGTAACTATTTTCTAATCATCAGAGAAATTATCTCTGGACTGCAGACTCAACCACAACTTTGCATATTTGTCTGTTTCAGCATATAATGACAAGATTGTGGCATTTCTACGCCAGCCAAACATTTTTGAAATGCTGCAAGAGCGTCAGCCAAGTCTGGCCAGAAACCATGCACTCAGGTAGGGGCTCATTCTTTATCCCTGGAATCTTAAGCCTCTCCAGCCATTAATCCAGGTCAAAAAGTATCTCTATGGAAGATGAGCTAAAGCTGATGATGCATTTTATTTATACATTTCGATTCTAAGTGGAATTTTCAACTGGAAGGAGCCCAAGGCGCTAATGTTCTGAGAACCGGCACAGTGGGGAAGTCATATTGTCAGGTGAAAAATCAATTGCCATTGAGTCTGAATCATGGCAACTCCGCGCGGTTCAGAGCAGCACTGTGCTCCACGGGGTTTTCGATGGCTGAATCTTCAGATCACCAGACCGTCCTTCCTCTGGGGGCGCTAGAACCACCAGTCTTTCAGTTAGCTACAAGCAAGTTAACATTTTTGCACTACCCAGACACACCCATGGTGATATTGCATATTATGTTTATGCTGCTGAAATGATTTGCATAAATTTTAGGGGGCAGAAATAGGAAGAAAATATTTTTCATAGAAAAAAGTTATGTAAAAAATATGCTTTTTACATTCCTGAAATACAATTGCTAAATATGTTGTTAGCTAGCTTTATGAAAACTTAAACCAACAAGCAAGAAGAAAGGATCATATGTTCTCTAACACTTAAATCCTAGTGTCCATTAGAGTCATCTTTAATTGAGTATCTGTGATACCCTGGATCACTCTGGATGAGAAATAACAACCCAAAATGATGAAAAGAGAAGATATCTCTGAATTTAAATCCTGGTTTCTCAACAGGAGTCTCAAAGATTTTGCTCCTTCCGTTCACCATCCAAACTTCCAGAACTAGAGAACATGGTCTCTTGAGTTTGAATTCTTGCTCCACTACTTATGATCCAGATCAAAGCATGTTCAAGCTCTATGCACAATCCCCAGTATCACTGAAATGGGGCCATGACATGGACATGACTGACAGGTTTAAATGGGATGTGTGCAAAAGAGGGGGCAATGGATGCCTCTGATTCCCTTTGCTGCACTCCTTGGGTTCTAACGGACACCTCCACATTGACTTTCTCCACGAAGCACTAATGCCTTAAACAGTGTCTTGGCCATTAAAATCCTTGCTCACCTCTCCAGGAGGGGATTGCTTACTGACTTCTCCTCCACAACCACTTCACTGACACCTCTTTGCTGTGTGGTCTTATTCTGAGTAAATTGCAACCACCATCCTCCAATTTCCCTTTATCCCAACACCCCCCTCTTCCTTCACCACCACTTCTACACATTTAGCTCCCCGTGTTCTCTCTTCCACTCTTGCCTTTACTTCTGCCTGAAATGATCCAGGTTCGGGTCCACCTCATCTTTCTTCTGGGTGTTACGAGGGTATGGTAGAAGCTACTCTCCTCGCTGTGTCCTAACCACAGTTGCATTCATAAAGCATAGCTCAAATTATGCCACTTCTGCCCCCAAACCCCCTTGACTCCAAATGTACTGAAATAAAATCCATATTTTTAAACACAATTCCCGAAGTTGCTAAAGCCTTGCCCTAACCTGACACCCCATCCTGCTTCTAGTATTTTTTTTACTATTCAACATCTTCTACCTCTTCCAAGGTGATTTTACTCGGTGCCTTCACTTTAACTAACATGACTCCTCTCAGAAGGGAATCTCCTTTTGTTTGAAAAGTGCTCCCTCCTTTGAAAAGACTGGATGCTTCCGGCAGGCTCAGTGATCCTTTTACCTTACTATCATAGTAGGCTTCCCCTTCCAACCTCCAGTGTTGGAGTCCCGGGTGGTAGAAACCAAGTACTTACTTTAGCTGAAAGGTAGATAGCCACCCACAGGTGCTTGGAAGAAAGGTCTGGTGATCTACTTCTGAAAAATCAGCCATTGAAAAACCCCTATTTAGAACAGGTATGTCTTGACATAAATGGAATCTCCATGAATCAGAGTCAATCTGATAGAAACTGGGGTCATCTCAGGTAATATCCCCTTTCCTCTGGCTCCCTACGCCACTGTATGCTCTTTACAGCAGGAACTATATTTTCTGTTTCTTTATACTCTTTGCCCTCAAACTTGGAACTAACTGCCCCATAAGCTTCCATGGTGGCAAATATTTGTACATACACAGACTGCTAACTTGTCCTCCCACAGAAAGGGTGGCAGGTTCCAACCGCTAACCCTTCTGTTAGCAGCCAAACACGTAGGGAATGCACCACTAGCACTTCTCCATTGTCACTTCCATGGATGTTTGATCCTTAATTAAAAAGTCCCCGTCCAGGTTTCATTATTGAGCCACAGAGGAAGGAGCGGCAAGTCAGTGATGTTGATCCTTTGTTCTCGCAATTGTTTGACTCTCATTACCTAAACATTTGGGGGATTTTCATGGGAGTTACTTTAGCTAAAGAGTTTCTGACACATTACTACTTTTGATCTGTTTGTTTTTCTACATGTCACTGGTTGCACCACTAAGTTATGCATTCACTGCTTACTTTTTGAAGAAATGTGAACATCTCAAAGGCACCAGAGTTCCACTTAAATTATTTGGAAAGGCCTAGACCAAAGCATGTGCACAGGTACAGATAAGAGACAAGAACTCATGACACACGGAATCCAGGAACAGGAATGAGAGTAGTCATACCAGTAGTAGGATAGAGGGAAGGGGGAAAGATGAAGGGAGGAGGGGGGAACCAATCACAATGATTGACACATAACCACACACTCCCCTCCATGGGGAAGAACAACAGAAACCATGGGGGAAGGGAGACAGTGGTCGGCATGAGATATAAAAATAATAATAATTTATAATCTACCAAGGGGTCATGGGGAGGGAGGGAAAAAAGAGGAGCTGATACCAAGGGCTCAATAGAAAGTAATGTCTAGAAAAGAATGATGGCAACATATGTCTGATACAATTGATGTATGGATTATAATAAGAGTTGTAAGAGCCCCCAATAAAATGATCTTTTAATAAAAATAAATTAATAAAAATAAATTACTTAAAAAGTTAAAAAGAAGAAGATGGACAATCCTGTCTTGGTCCCGGTAGGCTAGAGAAACAAATTCATAGACACTCATATGTGTGTGAGAAAGAGCTTTATAGCAAAGAGTAATTGTATATTAAGAAAACATCCCAGTCAGTCCAGATCAAGTCCATAAGTCGAATATTAGCCCATATGTCTGATACCACTCTATAAATTCCTCTTCAGACTCAACGAAACATATGAAATGATGCCAAATTAAGGAAGATCACAGGCCAGATGGAAATCTTGTGGATCCAGTGGTGGTAGAAGCATTTCAGTGCTAGCATGGGTCTCCACATGACTCCTCCAGCTCCCGGGCTCTGGTTCTCTCAGCATAGCTCCATGTGTCTTGTCAGCAGAGAGAGTGTATTTGGTCTCCAGTGAGCTATTTATCTCCATCGTGCCTCCAAATGAGGTCATCAAGCTGCGACCTGATTGACAGGCTAAACTCCACCCCTTCCTCAAGTTGACAATAGATTATGTAACTGCCACAATCTCCCGTGGCAGTTATTATAATAAGAGAATATATTTCCAAAGAAAAGAAACGGTGTATAACTGTGTATATATCACATTACAATAAAATCCAAGAAACCATAGAAACTAAAACCAAACTCACTGTTATCGAGTTGGGTCTGACTCAGGATGATCCTACGGGCACATAGAACTGTCCCCTGTGGGTTTCCAAGAGTATAACTCTTTATAAGAGTAGAAAGTCTTTTATTATAGTCTAGAAATATACAATTATACTTCTCCAGAGCTGGAGGGGGCAGTGGGGCATCCTGAAACCAGGACATTTAGAGTGGGAAATGCCAATTCCTGATCAGAAATTACTAAGTATTGAAACAAATAAACTTTTTAGGGTCATGGACCCCTTTGAGGATCTGATGAAAACAATTATTGATACTCCCCATGTATAACCATGCACTTTTACATACAAAGTCAGGTGGCCAATGGACTCTAAGAGAATTAAGGACACCGGGTTAACCCAAGTATCTCATCCAAAACAAATCCCAATGTGAGTATCAGAAACTGAATATGGGGCCAGGGACTGAAAAAAGGCTACAAGACAAGAGCAAGCACTTGGCTCTTTTGGGGGTCAGCTAAGAGAACTAGGAGCCTCAACATTGCTGTTTATGATGAGGCCTGTGTGTGTCCTAGAACCATGATTTGAGATCAGACAACTCCAAGCTCAAGAGTCAAGAGGCAAAGGGAAAACCACCCCCCTTGCAACTCTGCTCAGGTAGAACTCATTGCTTCTTCTACATGCTAGATTACAAGTCCTTGTCACAGGTGAATCCTTTAAAGAGATCAACAAAGATTACCGTGCCTTCTTAAAATAAGAAAGGAAAGCACCAAAGAGTCAAGTTAATTATATATTTGCCTGAAGATATTCTATGTGGGATGAAGAACCGATTTCAAAGGGCTCAAGTAGAAAGAAAATGTTTTGGAAATGTTGGTGGCAACATACATAAAAGTGTGATTAACACAATTGAATAATGGATTGTTATAAGATTTGTAAGAGCCCCCCCCAATAAAATGATTAATAAAATAGATAAATAAAATGAATTGAATTCATGTTAATACAACAAGAGAAGAAAATTGGTATTTGCAGTTATTGAAAAATTTTTTTAATTATACTTAGGTTATCAGGGAAAATTGGGTTGAGGTTACATATATTATTTCTTACAATTATCAGTGAATCTGAAATAATCTTGAAATAAAATTTTAAAGAAAAAGTTAAATATTAAAATGAAATTAATCCTTAATTTAATCTTTCCAGATTTCTGCTACACAAGCAAGCCCCATCCCCCCAAAATAGTACTTCTTTTAAAGCACCCATGACAAGGCGTGATTCTTAGCTAGGCTGTTTGTAATATTTGAATAATGTCAAGCTCAAGAGGGAAATAATAGAAAGTTACGTTGTTTCAAATAAAAGTTATTTGTCCCTAAATATACTTGAACTAATTCCCCAGGTTGGAATGAGAAGTTGTGGAAAGGTTCCCAAGTTGGAATAGGAGCTTGTGGAAATTATCAGAATATGCTGTGTAAAAGTTAACCAACGGATAGCCGTGTGCATCCTGATCTGGACAACCAAGTCCCATCTCTTCCGAAGGTCCTCCCGGCGCCAGCATGGCTTTAACGCTTTCCACCAGGCTTCAGATGTCTCACTTTTCTAACACGGCTTCCAATCCAGTGACCACACACAGTGCAGTTCTCCAGCTGCCCTGTCCTGTGCAGGCCCACTCCTGACTGCCTTGGACAACCCAGGACCTAGCACCTTGGCTTCTACTTGTGTGAATGAGTCCAAGGGGCATTTTGGGTTAAACACTGAGCTGCTAACCTCAAGGTTGGTGCTCCAAATCCACCAGCCACTCTCAGGGATACTGCTGAAGCTGTCTGCTCCCATAAAGAGTGACAGTCTCCGAAGCCCCCGGAAGCAGTTCTGCTCTGTTCTATTGGGTCACTATGATTTAGAATAACTTGAAGGTGGTATTTTGGGGGTGGGGGGGTTATACTTGTGTGAGTGTAAATAGAGGTCATTGTTTTCAGAGCATC